CAACGCGACTAACAATCGCTGCGAACGACTTCGTAAACGTTAAAAGCCATGCAAGAGACAAAACTTGTGCTAACAGGGTACTCACTCTGCTCCCACGTCTCTCAATAATGTTACCTTGTTACTGCAAAAGAAGAAAATTTTTTCAAACAGTTGTTTTGTAGTTTCTCTGTCCAAAGGTGTGATGATTTTGCCCCAACTCCCTGACTCAACTTTGCAAAAAGTTGGACAGCAAAATACCTTATGTTATCTCTCATCAGATTCTCACTCAACGAGCTCCGTGAGAGCGTGGCTATGCGACGGAGAGCAAAAGTTGCATTGTAACTTAACTTTTCTTTTTTTGTGTTTCCTCAAATTTCAAAATCCGCCTTTTTAAACATTTTCAGCTTTTCGTTAAACGTGGCAGATTCGAAATCTCCCTACCCCCAGCCCAACTAGTTGTTACCACTACAAATTTACAATTATAACTTTTCTTTACAAATCTACCATAAGTTGCATGGTCTGATTGTCCTCTTTGATGGCCGTTGCAGCACACATTATGGACAGCAGTAACGTTAATACACTCAGCATGGTGAATATCACGACCAGCTCACGTGACCAGGTCTGTCAATAGCTTGTCAGCTGCCTATGAAATTATAATATAATACACTTTATCCTTTGGCCGCCCATATTGGAAGATATTGGGAAAATTCTTTGCGTGATGATAAAGCATTACAACAGAAAGTAATAAAAAGATTAACTTCATCTGATTTTTGGTTTTGTTTTATTATATGAACATTTCGGTCATTCAGCCGGTACTGTTGAACCTCTTTGAGGCTCCTGGTAAGTTACATAAGTTGTACTTACCTGACTGGTCGTTATCTACCAACTCTCCTAAAGCATATTTCTGACAAGATTATTCGTAACTTTTCATAAAGAACTGATATTTTTGGTTCTGTTTCATTAAACATGAAGCAGGACTGTAGAAGGCCTAAATGTAATAAACGGTCCTAAATGTATTAAAGTCCTAAATGTAATAACATTTTGTCCTAAATGTAATAACAATTTGCCCTAAATGTAATAAACTCTTAAGCTGCCAATTACAGTAATTACTCGAATAAGCCCCGCCCTCAAATAAGCGCCGCATTTAGGAGGTGGGGGAGTTAATTAGCGCCGCGGCGCTTATTCGAGTAAATACGTACTAAGCGGTATTGCTATGGTATTAAGCTCCACTCTCAAATAAGCGCCGCGGCGCTAATTCGCGTAAATTCGGTACATTTCCTTATGCACTGTGAAACTTAACGTTTACAAATAAATTGCTTGTAAACGGCAAAGTAACAGTATTGTTCTAAAAAAAGCAATATTTAAGCAATAGAAAACTTTTTTCCTGTGTTTGAATAGCCTGATATAAACACTCGCGGGGTTGGGAAAATTCGAGACAGTTATGCAAACCTGAGACGACGTCGAGGATTTGCATAAAACTGCAAAAACTTTGCATAACTGCAAAAAACCGCTCCAAAAAGGAGGATTTATTTAAAAGCTGTTTTTTTCTTTCGAAACTCGCTGGCGGTCACCAAAGGTTTAAACCTACAGGTATTATATACCGTATCTACGCTTTATTACGTAATGCCTCAGAATGATCTTTTTCGTTTGTAACGAGCTTGGTCATTCTTCAACATATTCTTCACCAACGTGTCTTTCTTTCAGAATGTTTGGAACACGGAAAATACCGGGGAATGTTGCCATTCTGAATTTAAGTGTTTAGGTTGACCGATTTTTTGTCGAAAAAAATTGATGACTTACATAATGATTTTTAAACTGCATTAGATGTGAAACTTTGTCACGAAAAACAAATCATTGTCATCGTATAACGTTGCCTGGAAAATCTAACTGTGCTTGAATTGCCTACCTTTAAATTTCAGTTCCAAATCTTCCTTTTCAACGCTCGGAAAGGATGAGGCCTCAAAAGCGACAAGACTACTCTTGAAAAACACTTCAACTTGTTGTTGTTATTAACCTTCAAGCATGATTGACGTTGTTGACGTATTTCTAAAGGGTAGAAAGCAATTATTATTGAGTTCTTCCCACTTTTATGTTGGTACAGCTTTATCCAGAGAGATAATTTGTGAGAAATTATCACTAATGGAGTTGAATCTTAGTTAAACAATGAATATTGAGCATGAGTATTGCTTTAACAACCGGTTATCCTGACAAAATCTGCAATAATATTGGAAAAACACCCCACTTTTCGAAGCAGAGCAGGTTAAATGAAAATGAGCTTTTACCCAACACAGATAGAGACAAACGGACTTCAAATTGATAGTTCGGAAAGATGTCGGCAATTAAGAGAGAGCAAGTGAGAGAGAAAATAGCCGGCCTGAGTTCGTGAACTTCCGTGACGCTCACGTCGCTATGGCATGTCAAAGATACACAGTAATAACTCCCAAAGCACGTTATTTATAAATCTGAAAAAATAAGACTTTTCTGGTTTTTTACCAAAAATTACAAGCAAAATAACAGCCTATAATTTTTGTGCTAATCAATGAAGGCTTCTAACTGTTATTGGAGTTTTTTAATTGTCACAGCTTTGTAAATAATTACAAAACTTAACGAAGGCGTTCAAATTCAGTTTGCTGAGTCTTCTTTGGTTATTTTCTCTATTTTTTTGGCTGATGAAGTTCATTGAAAAGCTTAAGAGCGGGGACCTGTGAGGCCTTCCCCATTATTAAAGTTGAAAAACTAGTGGCAGAAACGTTCAGACCACAAAAGCAAAATTTAGCAGGTTTTCCTACAAATGATCTGGGAAAAATAAATTTTTAATTTACTGAGATTGACGTGTACGTCAACATTGACTTTCCCATAACAACGGATTTTTGGCACCCAATTTTCACTTTAAAAGGGTCTAAGGGATTGATTTCTGTTTGACGACAATTGGATATTGTCCATGAAAACTAATACACAAACTGGCCACTCTTAGGCCCCGTCCACACGTATCCAGATATTTTTGAAAGCGGAGATTTTTCCCTCCCTTTTCAGAAAAAAAAAGCATCCACACGTAGCTTATTCGAATCTTTTTCGCCCGCCCATACGGAAACGGTAAACAATGGAAATACGATAACATCCCTCACAGAGCATGCGTTATGATAGTAGTTAAAGATGAATGACATCATGGTATTCGAAAACCTCCGTTTTCGTCCGTTCACTCGTAAACGAGAAGCCAGCATTTTCAAGAATCTTCACTATGGACAGCGCGAAAAGATACGTTTTCAGTGACAGTTTTCACCTAATACGTGTAGACCTTAGGCCAAGAACCGGAGAAAAAATCTCCGTTTTCAAACAAAAACGGATACTAGTGGACGGGACCTTAGAAACACTTCATTTGAATGTTTTTTGAACATAATACCGTAGTGCAATAAGTGCAAGAACTCACATATGGTAAAAAAAATGCTTTTATTTAATAAACGTTTCTTACGTAATAAACGTTCTCTTAAAATAGCATATATTTCATAGGCTCGCGGGAGTGTTATCATCTTTTCATTTTTAAAAGTTATGCTGTCTCTGCACTACGATGGGGCTTTGAAAGGCAAACAAGGAGAGGATTTGTTTTTAAAAATAAAGAAAATAAGTTTGATGTGAAACCCTCCGAAACTAAATCATAGTTTCCTTCAGAAGTGGTAATTAAATTTGAATGATAAACGACAATTAAACCAAATAAACCAGTCTGTGTAGATTATTAATATTAGGCCATGTCTACTCGAATCCGGACATTTTTGAAACCGCATGAGCGGTCAAAATCTTTGACGTCATTTCAAATCTCGATATTTTTTTTGCAGCCTGAACCCTAACAATGACAAGACTAAATGCAATTAACTGTGGAATTTGACTATTTTCAGTCGTATCTATTTGTATGCTTACTTTCCACAATGAAAAAAAATCGAATAGGGAATCACTTTAATCTACAGTTTTTTTTAAGCTTGCCCTTTAGGAACTTCTTCAACAAAGATCCGGGATACTGAATTCCATCCTGTGTAGCCGTCAGCGTTCCCATAGCTGTTGCAATTTCCGATTGAGAATCCCACGCGAACCTTTCCGTTGAGTATGTTATTACAGTGTCCCTCAATATGGCGGACGCGATGAAGATCTTTATTTCCACCTGTCCGCATGTAGACAACTCCGTCAGTGGGCAGAGGACCAGAACACTCTGCGCCATTGAAGGTGAAGTACCAACGTTTGCAGCAGGCATTGCAGCCGTAAATTCTCAATGCACCCGTCCAGTAAACATGAAGGGAAGTATCAGAAAAGTTCTTGGTAAAAACACATTCCTGTCAAACATTGGAACACAAGAAAAATTACACAGGGTTTCCATAAGTTCGTATTTTCTTTGTAGTAACTGTGTACTGACTGTGCTTTTACTTTCTGTCCTTTCATCCGTATATGATTTACCGTAAGGCGACCGTAATCCTTAAATAATAATAACAGTAAAAATAATAATTTGGGTAGCACACAGCTCGTGACGAGGACTGTGCATGGATGTGTCCGCCGCTGCCCTTGCCAGGACCAGGTGGCTAACGGCCTGGTAGCCTAGTGCCTGATTAGTGTCCGCACTCAGGGATACAAGTTCCTGCGTACACTGGATAATGGTTTTGACCCATGCGCTACGGGAGGAGTCCCCTAATGAAAAAATCATACTCAAAAAATATTGTGATGATGAGTGAAACATTGAATATCGAAAACGGCGTAAATGGGACCAATGGTGCCTGGCCCGGCAGGGTGTCTGGGGAAGAGCAGCCAGTACCAGGTCGTAATCCTGCTACTGCTTAAGTAAGATGGACCAAAGAGATAAACAAGATTGATTATGGAGTGCTATATCGGAAGTGACCCAGCAAAAGAGGGTACACGAAAAGAATGATGGCAATATGGCGAGAGATTGGAGTGTATGAGACCCGTATAGAGCAACGACTGGCAGATCAAGGAAGAGTTATAAGTTGGATGCATGATTAACTGATATGAAAATTGAGGAGCTAAGACGGAAAGTGGTGAATGAAAACAAAGGCTGTGATGACGCAGATCCCAGTGGAAAAGAGCTGCAAGGTCGCACTTGGGACTGGGGCGACAGCAAAGACATTAACACCAATAGAGAGCAGCATAGCTCCCGCCAATCTCCTCGCGGTTTCTCTGCCCTCGCCCGGCCTTAATATAATGCGCGCCCAACCAAAACCGCCATGCTACGCAGGCTAAGAGCAGCAGAGGGATGAGGACAACAGCTTCAGCCAATTTAAACAGATACCAGAGAAGCTGACATTGAACTGATAGCTGAATTAAATGAGAAGCAACTGAGGAAGATGCCAAATTGGAAGTCTCCAGGCCCAGATGGCCTGCCAGTATATTGGCTTAGGAATCTCACCTCAATGAAAGAAAGAATTGTAAACAGCTGAATGAATGCTTACACATGAATTCTGTGCCAGATTGGATGACCAAAGAGAGAACTGTACTAGTAAAGAAAAACAAAGAGCAGGGGGCAGCAGTGTCTAATTCTACGAAAATCGGTCAAAGTTTTCATAAAGAAATAATTTGTCATGAAAAAACTTTCCAAGTTAAAATCTGGCCAATATCCTGACTGAATGACTCAGAAACCCAGGAAAGGTGACTTTAGGGAGAAGCTAAGAATCTAAAAAATTTCACAGGAGTGAATGCCCCCGGACCCTCCTAGATGCCTTCGGCTCTCGTTTAGGAGATCCGCGCCTGCAATCACATGCTTGCCAATGATGTGGAAGTTGTTCCCTTGGAGCACTGGCGGACAAAATGTATGAAATTCTCGAAGAAAAGCATCTACCCCGGCGAAACAAAAAGGATGTAGAAGAAAATTGAGGGACAAAGGACCAATTGTTGGTTGACAAACTTATCATCAAGAACTATAAAAGGAGGAAGACGGGACTCGGAATGGCTTGGATTGATTATAAAAAAGCATTTTATTTGGTACCCCCCTCATGGATACTTGAATGTATCAGGATGTTTGGTACAGCTCAGAATATGGTGGGTTTGATCCAAAACAGCATTAAACAAAGGAGAACAGTTTTAAAAGGTGGAAGTGAGGCTCTTCTGGCGAAGATCATATCAGAGGAGCAATATTTCGAGGAGACAGCGTCTCACCTCTCCTTTTTGTGATCTCACTCACCCCCTAACTCTGGTGCCCGATTATATGTGGATGGAGTTTGGAATATCAAAGTGTGCAATCCAAATTATGAAACGAGTAAAGGCGATCCTAAATGAAAGAATCGTGCTCTCTGGGGATAAAAAGATACAATCACTGAAAAGTGAGGTTAATGAAAGTATCTTGGGTCCTTGAAGCGGATGATATGAAACATTGTGAGATGTAGCAGAAGATCCAGAAGGGATATTTCCGCTGATGTAGACCGGTCGTACTTTAAAAGGTTCAGAGGTGGACGTGCAATGATAAGCATAGAAGAATGTGTCAATGTCGATCGAGGTAAATAACATAAAGTCTTACTGCCAAGAATCAGAGTAAAGGTTGTTGAAAGCTATGTGCAAAGAGAATGCAGAGAATGTTCTTCAAGAAAAGGATCCGGGAAACTGGAATAACTCATCTTAGATGGAAGATCATACCCGAAAGTACCACGAAATAACCTTCCATGGACAGTGTATCAGAAGAATCGAGAAAATTAGGGAATCGAAGTCGTGGGAATGGCTTAATAAGAAGCTTTAAGAAGCTAAAAAAAGAAAATTAAAGGCTTTCTCATGGCCGCACAATATCAGACTCTGCGTACAAACAGAGTAAAGAAGCTGATTGACAATCAAAATGTTTCCCGTGCATTAAGAATGTGTGGAGAAAGAGTGGAGACAGTAAGCATGTAGTAGTAGCACTGCACTCGATCAGAAACAATACACATAAGGAACCCACACTCTTATTTGTGACCTGTAAATGGAAATTAAATGAGTGATAAAAGGTCATTAATAATAACAATAATAATAACATTGTTAACTAGGGTAAACCCGTCAGCTGAAGCTGTTATAAATGGGTGCCCTGGGCAACTAAAAAATTAACAATTAAAGGAAAAAATAACTATAACAGACCAACTATCAGAAAAATGTAAAAACTATGTACAATGTCGATGGACAAAAACAAGAATTATATAACTACGTAAATTGACTCTAAAAAATAAAAATAAAAAATCTTTACAAGGACTCTAAAAAATGATATCATAAAGAACTGTTTTAAAAATCACTATGGGGTCAACTTCCTTCAGATGGGGTGGCAAGTTATTACCAGTTCTGTTCTTGAATCTGCTGCGGAGCAGAGTGAAATGGAAGTTGTTCTACGCTGCAAAAACGATGTTTGTGTCGGCGCTTTGTCCGTAAATTTCACAAAGCTTTATTTTGTGCGTGTCTTGCATTTCACTGTTGGTGTCACGCGGTTGCTGTTAGCGTCTCGCCTTTCACTGTTGGTTATTAATAACGGAGAGAAAAGAGACTCATTACCGTTAATTGGCCAGTACAGAAAATACCATTTATAAGCATCGTCTTTAGTTTCCCTTTGGAGTTAAAATGGCCCCAAGGGAAACTGAAAACAATGCTTATGCAAAATTTTGGAGTGACCAACAAAGAGTATTATGGTATGTTATGGTATTGTCTGTAGTGGTCAATTCAAATTATTAATTAATCAATAACCAACAGTGAAACGAGAGACGATAATGACAACCGCGTGACAACAAGAGTGAAATGCGGGACAAACCACATAAATAAAGCATTGTGAAATATACGGACAAAGTGGCGACACAAACATCGTTTTTGCATCGTAGAACAAATTTCACTTTGCTCCGCAGCAGATTCAAGAACAGAACAGGTATCTTTTATCTTTCATTTAATTTCCATTTACAGTTTACAAATAAGTCAAATAAGAGTGTGGGTTCTCTATGAATACATTCAAATTATGGAGTCACGATAAGGTCACCCAGCTTATCTACTGGGATCTCAGCGAGAACTGTGGTTTTGAAAGGGCAGCAAATTGTTCTGACCACAAACCGGATCCAGTCTGCGATTCTGAAAGGACAAACTTCTGTGAGATTTAAGATCCAAACGGACCATCACATTGAACATAGCAAAGCCCTAAATTAGGAAGAGAAGTTGTGCGTTATGATTGATGTTGCCTGCCCATTCGACACTAGAATTCCCTAGAGTAGTGAGCAAGGGAAGAGACAAGATCGATAACTTAAAATACGAGATCAAACGAATTTGGAACTGTCGATCAGTTCAAGTCATCCCAATAGTAATTGGTGCACTGGGAACAGTTTCGAGGGGATTTGGAATGTGGCTGAGACAGTTGGGAATGCCATATTGAATGGAAAGTTTGCAGCGAAAAACCTTGCTGGGATCAGGAAGGATTCTGAAAAAAGGGCTGGACACTTAATTATATTAAGGACAGAACAGATGGCACGGAGTATCCTATTATAGGTCACAGACAGTCACCCGATACTCCGCACCATTTCCTGCACTATGTAGTGATTAATCTCGTACCCAGATCTCACTCTGTTTTACCTTTCCCTTGGCCGTGGGAGATCTGGGTACGAGATTATGTAGTGATAGGCCTATATTAATAATGATGATGATGATGATGATAGCATTTATTTATACGCGATAAAAATTGCAGCAGTGATCGTGTTAAAACAAAAAATTCTATCAAAATCAGTAAAACAATTATCTTCATATATAGCCAGGGAAAGTTCCCCAATACAAACGATGGGCAAGAATTGTAGAACGGTTCAGTCGAAAGCACGTTCACTACCTATTCATGAGTAAAACATTATCGGCAACACCTGTCGAATAATCAGTCAACCACATTTGAAAAACATCATCAGCCCTGTTTCAGATGTCAAAGACGAACCTGACAAGGAATCATGTACACAAATAGTTTAGCTCATAAATCAGTCATCAAAATGGAGTTTTAATTTCCAGTTGTTCAGCCTTTTCTGTTTGTTGTTTCTTCTTCTTCTTCTTCTTCTTCTTCTTCTTCTTCTTCTTCTTCTTCTTCTTCTTCTTCTTCTTCTTCTTCTTTTCTTCTTCTTTTTTTTTCTCCTGCCTTGGCGGGAAATTTCGATTTTGAAACGATTTTAAAACGACTCTAATTCATACGCCGGGTGGCTCTTATTCATACGCTCAAATTCATACTTTTTTGCAATTCGGACCTAATGTCGAATGACTTGATTTGTCATGTTTCCTCCACTTTAAGATTTTTTGGCGTCAACTGTATCAGGTGTATCAGGTTGTTGTCTGTTGGTGAGCTTAGGTTTGGCAATGAATTAGTCGGAATATTTTGTCAATTTAGGTCAGCCCTATTTCGATTGAATTTCAGTTCATGGAAAATTCAATCGGCGACTAGAATAGGTCTTGGAGCAAAAAAATTTTTGGTGGCTATAATCAGTAAAAGCACTTTAAAAATTTGCTGAGTGTCCTTTACCCTTTTTGTGCAACTCACCTTAATAAGACCACTGTCCTGGCCATCATTCACGTTTTTCCAGACGCATTCTTTCCAATTCTTAGGCGGCATTTGGCCAGTCAAACCTTTTTGATCAGTAGGACCCTGGGTTCCAGGTTCTCCTTTAGCACCCTTCTGTCCCTTTACACCAGAAGATCCTATATCACCGGGAGGTCCCTGAGGTCCAGTCTTCCCCTGCAATCCTTGATCACCTTTAGCTCCATCACGGCCTTCACGTCCGTCACGTCCATCACGGCCTGGTACACCAGGAGAACCATGCTTGCCGTGCATGCCGGGAATGCCACATGCACCATAACAAAATGACGGAGATTGCTAGTTTGGAACAAGAAAAACGAATAAAGTAGAGGTTCACTTTGAGTGATTGTATTCAGTTTTTCTTTCTTTTTTCAGTAAAACCTAATTAGACTGTTCTAATTGCATCCCCTTCGGAGCTTCGCCTGCTGAAATGAGCGTTGTAGGACACTCCCAGTTATTTTTACACTCGCTAGGTACACCTCTGGAAAGATTGTGACCCTTCTCAGTTGCAAAACAAGAAACAGTTTTGTTTTCAAATGCGATGTCTCTAGTACCCTGTTGCCAACAGAAAAGGCATCTTACAAAGCGTACAAAAATCTGAAAAAATGACAAGTACTTAATATGATTTTTTCTTACTTTAAACTGTCATATAACCATCTAAGCTTAAGGTCTCACGTCGTCGTTGCTAATCTAACTGTTACCAAAAAACAAGTAACATACAGTCAATACTTCAATGCTGATTGTACTACGTGAAAATTAACTCTGCAAGACATCAACACGACGCCGAAAGAACTCAAAACAACTTTGCAGTATTCTGCTTGCAGAATTTAATATGTCTACTTTTTATCTTTGCTGATCAGGTCTTTATAGATCCTACGTTCTTCGGCATATTCTTCTTATTTTCTTTTAAAAAAAGCTCTATTGCTCTATTATACGGACTCTCTCTAATACGGACAACGGACACTAAATCTCGGCCCTAGAGAGTAAATTCATATAAACTTAACCTCTTTATTACAGACACCGCGGTGATCAGGTGAATCCCGAATCTCGATTAGGTGAATCTGCATAGGGTGAATGCTGATGAGCTATGCAAGGTGATATAAAGCCCAGTCTCTGTATACCAAACAACGATTAGCGAAAGGTGTACAGAGGTACATAACCTACTTTTGAAGGCTTCAATAACTCCGGATAGCATAAAGGTCTTTTCTATTCATTTTGTACTCTAGTTACTGTTCACTGCACTTGCAAAATAGCAAAAGACGCTTCCAGAATTGTGCTTTACGTTACAGCTTTTTGAAACAGTAATTTGTGTATAGCTGATATGTACAATGTTCTATGCTACAGAAAGACAGTGTCTTTGTACTGTGAATTAATGACTTTAAATTCAATTTAAAGACGAGTGTGAGCCTGGTTCTAGCTACTGAACACTTAAAACTGTAATCGATTGTATGTGAAAATGTTGAATAGTTTCTTATACCGTAGTTTGTGCGGTCTGTTTGCTGTCACTAATTGCTGATGCTGTACACATTATGGTCGGCAGTAATATCAATACACTTATCATGATGGCAGCTGGTGGATCAGATCTCTTCTTAATTGCTTGGCTGCTGTCTGTGAAATAGAGAATCACCAGTTTTGAATGTGAGTACTTGTTAGGGAGTTAGGAATGGAGATGTTTAAGTTCTCATAGAACATGATGATAAAACCTCCAGAGAAATGGTGTCACATATAGTAGCCGGCTCTCCTACTCAGTACGACAACGTACGTCTGTACTTACAACAGAGGTAAGTGTCCTGATGCTTTCCTTTTTACCAAATCAAGACTACAACTAATATGTGCGTCATATGATGTAGGGAGCAATCATTTGTTACTCTTTATCGGTTAATTTTCTTTCAATATTATTGGTCTATCTATCTGTCTCTTACCCGGACGCCTCGCTTGCTATAAATTGTGGCGCTTTGCCATGTCTTTCGCCTTGTTTAGCGTGATCTCTCAAAGCAACTGAGTATTCCCGTATTTTCCCGTATTTTCCTCAGGCCTTAGTCGCCACCAGAAAGGAAAGGCATGGGGTTGTATCTCCTCTCTTCTCTCCGCGCGATGTCTCTTCTTGAGGGTGACGATTTTCACGCGTCCTCGCGTGTTTCGCCCGACCTATCTTTGAGGAAAATCCGGGCCTACTCAAGCTTGAGCCTAAGCTATGTTCTAAAGAAATTGTTTGATAAGTTTTTCCCATTTTCATTTTCTTTCTTATTTAAAAAGGTTTTGGAAAAAGAAGTGTACAGTTCTGTTCCGCTACTGATGGTACTTAAGTGACTGGGCATCAAGAATGTGATGGGTTGTCAATTTATTGTCCCTTTCGAAAATAAGCTGTCGCGCAGTCACGTTATATGATCACACCCTCCATATCACATTTCACTGTTCCGGGCAACAATAAATTTTAAGGTTAATTTAGGATTTGTTGCTTGATGTATATATCTTCCATATTGAGCACTTCCCACAAGTATCAACATAAAAGAGTCATTGAGACTGAAGTTTTGTATCCTTGAATTTCATGACCAGAGAAGTGCTTTAAATAGTTACAACTGCAATTATAATTTATGATAACAAAGATCCTCGGTACCTTATGCCTGAGCTATTTTTCATGACCAAAACATTTTCAATTGATCAACTACGAGTTCCGATGAAGATATAAAATTGCTTAGTAGTTGGGACGAAAACACAGAACAGCTACCGAATGCTGAATGACTCTGACGTTCAGGGTTTGGAAGAAACTGAGTAAATCAAGTTCCCTTTCTGAGTTCTCCCTCATAGACTGTATAACAACCCAAGCAGAAACTTGGTTCAGGTAGTTTTCTAAGCCACTAACCTTTATCACTTAATTTCCGAGAGTCGTTCGCTGTTCGGGGCCGTTTGGCGTTTCCAGTGCAAATCCCTGCTGAACACAATATACTTACACTGACTTTTGTGAAAGTTTCCTCGAGGTTAGCGTTCAGTTCTCTCGGCACGCACTGCACTCAGGCTAAACTGACACGTACGCTGATTGCGCGAGAGAGTTTAAGCATGCAGAAGTGAAAGCTAAAACCGTTGATTGTCTTTTAAATTGGTGATTAAGAAACAAACAGGAAGCCGTCATACAGGACACGCTACGTGACTGAATGAATATCTCTAAACTCCCTTTTAAACTGGCCATTTTACTGGCAATGGATTTCTTAATTACAACTACCAGAATTCATTTTTTTCCTCGTTCTTGTTGGAATTCAGCTTTTCGAGCAAGATACAAGCAAACACGTCCTAATTTTTATATCAAAACAAAAGCTGAGGCATGCATTCCTTCAGTTTTAGCAAAAGGGATAGGTGGGCTTCAGCAACGACGACACAATGACGGCAACAGCAACGAAAATGTAGTTAAATGTCAAAAAAACAAAAGGCTGGTTTAGATTGGAAAACAACAGCTTTGCACGTGCATTACACTATTTTGTACATTTCTCTACCGTCGTTGCACGACGTCGACGTGAAATGCCTAATTTCACGTTTTGTGGAGGACATGAACACAGGACAACTATTTTCTTTTTCTGGCTTGAACAGTACAAGCAGAGAATACAGACTATTAGAATCAACTCCAGGAAAATTTTCCAACATTTGACGAATTGAACAAGAAGGAATAAGCGCGATAAAGTTTGAAACAACGTGAATTCACTTTTGAAGTGACGCTTTCCTAGCTGGCACCGTCGTTGTTGCTTAAGCTCCCTATCAATATCCGTCTTCGTTCCAAGCCATGCCATGGTTGGTTTAAGGTGATGTTACACAACCTCTTCCCCAGGGTCCACGCGGGACGATTCGTAACAACGGTATTTGGCGCAACACAGCAATGCAATGTTGGAACAATGTTGCAACCCTTACGAAACAATGTCGTACGGACGTTGCAACGCTGTGTTGCGCTCAAATCTCGTCGTTACGAATCGTCCCATGTAAGGTCACCTTTAGGTGTCACAGGGTTAAGAAACTGACATATATATTTTTGTCTGTAGCAGAAATGAGGGTGGGCGATGCTCGTAAGTAAAGTGCAGAGCGACAGTTTCTTGGAGTCTCACTTTTAGCGAGGTCGTTATACGTTTCTACGTTAGCCCAGGATCATGTGCGAAAACTTATCTTGCTACGTGTTCTTCCCTTGTGGCTTTACAGAAAATGTCTACCTTTTCTATGGCAAATGAAAGCTTTGTTTGTTTATTTGTTTGCTTTTATCTATTTGTATGTTATTCATTTTTGTCGGGCTGGGTTGTCGAATTAAAGGTTATCCGCCGGGATAATGACCTGACCCTACCTACAATATATCGAAAGAAGTAACAAAGTGAATTTGTCAGCGACTGAACTATGAAATTTTAGTTATCCACTTTCCTTAACTGAAATGCTGTTTTAATCATTCACCTACCTTTTGTTCTAGTTACCATCATACATGACTGAGTGCGAAACAAACAAGTCTTCTTTGACAGCAAACCTGTCAAGAAAAATTGTTGGGAGTATTAGGAAACTTGTAGAAGAAAACTCTTTCGAGTCGAACTGAAAACAGTTAAAGGGGCTGTATCACACGGCAGGTTTCTCTATTTTTTTAAGTACTTTGCCAATTGCCTACCCTCTCTCGTTAAATGTTAGCGAAAAAATAATCGTCTGAACAAAAACATATTTTCGTGACGACATTCCTTCCAAGCACTCTATTGAAAGTTAAAAACAACTAAAAAACTTTCTAAGGCTGAACATTTTTTCAAAAAATAGATTCCAATTCCGGCTGCAACGCGTTTTTATCTCCTTCAGTTTTGTTATCATCCGATCCTTCTTTTGTATTTTCTGTATGACTTATTCAGAGCTTTTGTCAATGTTAGAAGACTGAAGAAAAACCTGTTGTTTTAGTTGAAACACGTTGGCCCAGAGTAGAAGTGCGCTTTTAGCCATATTGCCATGCAACCTTGCATATGAATACAATGAATAGTATATTATCACGTTATTTATTTACTCGGTAATATAAGGGTGATGTGTGCCGTCGTAAGAGCGTCTCAACAAAAGAAGATCCACCAACAAGATGTACCACAAATCCTCTATTAAGACCCACCCCCCCTCCCCCCGGGGGGCGGGGGCTTATTTATTTCGAACTCATGTGAGGAGAGGGGCTTAATAGAGACGGGGGGTAATTTGAGAGGAGGGGCTTATTTAATTTGGCAAAGACAGTGGTATCAGTTCTCCTTAAAGAACTAGAATGGCTCCTT